TGCTATTTCGGGGGGGGGTTCTACAAATCATTGCCAGTGCACCTCCCCTGCAAGATCCCTGGTTCACCCCAGAAACAGAATATTAAATGGTCGCGCGGAGATACGAACTTTATATCTTCAATTGTTGAAAAATCTCTCACGACTTAGACTTGCCCCAAGTCGACCTCTCTTGTTTCCCGGTGTTTTTTTACGAGTGAGCGTTCCCGTATCCTCAATGCTCATCTCTTGAACGTTAGAAGAATGTCTTTTAATCTATTGAACAATTCCCAAGATATTTTTTGTACCACAATGTTTTTCCATGTAAACCTTGGCCTGATTTTGGAGCCGAACCGGGATGTTTGGTTCTTTCACAATTTGGCGCATGCGCATATTCCAACTTCTGATTGGCAACCGGTTGTGTTTGGTTCTCATTTTCTTTCGAATCTCGTGCCATTTTGTTTGCTTTCACTGCACAAACAGACTGTTTACTGGTCAACTGATACGTCAGGTAAGTCAGGAATTATGTATTGTGTTTCTAAGTGGATATTTAGTACTGTTTGTAGGGTCAAAGTGCTGCTGAGTACACTCGAGTCATTTGTAAACGATATCAAGAAATAATATGTGTGAAATTGAGAAACGAAACGAAGATAGTAAGCAAATAAAATATTATATACGAGCTTTATAGTATTCAAATATGCTTCGTTACTTCTTCTAGCCTGTCAAACATTTCRATAGTGAGGTGTATTGGAGAACTTTGGTGAAAAAATATAGTGATGCGAACACTATTACCTTACTACTAATGTTTTACTAGTTCATCAAATGAAGAACATTGAACATGCTTGAAGCRAAGGTATCACCTTAGACAAGTTTTATAGATATTTTAATAATCTTGCGTTCAAGTTTTCGATTATAGTTCACTATTAGGGGTTGAAAAGTCTTCAAATAGACTGACAAAGCTACGAGAAGGTAGCCATCTTGCTTTTTCCACAGGGAGCCCAAGATTTAAAAAATCTTTATCACTGTGAATAAGAGTATGATGAACTTTGGAGGTTGCCCGAAGAAATAAGCAAAAAGAGAAAACAATTAGGGGGGGGACTGGAAAACAAAACTAAGAAAAAATGGGTATTTAGCAAGGAAGAAGGGGGGACTTTACTAATTTACTATACAGTCAACATCAACACCACTGCTGTATTTGCATTATTGTGCGTGATTGTTATTTTCAATACCTCATATGTGCATTTTGGTTTGGCAGGCAAAAATAATGATGCACTGCCAAATGAATAATAAAATGGCATGCAAAATGTATGGGAATGACCTTCTTTTACCATGCTCCTTTACTATGGCAGGCTACAATAGTTTTCTCCTTCGAGCCCTGTGTTAGAGAAATGTAGAAGGATCCATTGCACAGCCACAATCTGCCTTCCTTGCTCAGCAGTCTTACCTTTCATTTCATAATACATCCTTGCTAATAATATGACTTGATATTTATTTTAGTAAAATGGAGTCAAATGTCCATATAAAGAYAGAAGAAAGGGACTCAGATGAAATGGACTTTTTGTTTTATAACAACATCGTCACTGTGGAACCCAGTTGGCATGCAGATCCTTCTGTCTCTGAGGTTAGTTTGTTCTTGATAAATTAATCAGATTAATTATTCTGCCATTTCTTTATGCTGTAAATCCTCTATTTAGCCATCCGGGGGGCTTAATTATTTCAGGCACGTTTGAGGGGGGCTTATTGGAGAGAGGGGGCTTATTGATTTAGTCAAAATGCAGTAAGTTGTACGCTGGATGTAAGGATGTAATATGATTGTAACTCAGAATTAAATGGAAGCATTACTATTAGGGTTCGTGCTACTCCTTAAGCTCCTTGAAAACTCCTTGAATTTAATTCACGTTTTCAAGGGCACTTGAAAAGCTCTTGAATTTTTTGATTTTAGTGAAACTCCTTGAATTTGTGCTTTGATCATTACTTGCATGGTTCTGAAATAGATCTAGTCAGAAAGATCGGAAAATCTGAAAGTCGACCATGTGCAACCACCGTGTAAAACCTTGGCATAGTTAGCTGAACATACTCCTTGAAAATTCATTTTTGGGTCCTTGTATACTCCTTGAATAGCCCTTGAATTTTAAGTGGTTACCTCAGCGAACCCTGTACTATTGACTGTCTCGCATGATGTACATGGCATTTTTATTATTTGATTCACCTGTGTTAGTCTCTCAAGTATAATTTACGATTATTGTGAATAGCAAAACTAAAACACGGTAACATTAACAAAGCAAGCTAAAAAGAAATGTTCTGAACAAYCAAGACTTTAATAAATTACCTTTAATCAGCACACGTGATTCTTTAGTTGTTAAGGGGGAGGGGAGGGGAGGCTTATTTGAGAGGGGGGGCCTAATTCCTCTTATTTCCCATACCATCCACAGGTAGCCCAAGCTAGGTTTTTAAAGCTTTACTTGATTTCACATTTTGACGATTTTATTGAGCTTTTTAAGTATCGCCATACATTTTCTTATAACATGACACCACAGAAACCTAGCTTGGGCTACCTGTCTACATCCTGAGCTGAATAACCCATTTGTAGCCTGGTAAACTTATCCTGACCTTGTAAGATATATTGACTGCAGTCCTCCTAGGGACTGAGTCCACCATTACATACAAAGAAAATTCCTTAATCTTTCAGATAGTGCTATAGAACAAGGATGGTGCTAATTTTTTTTTTTTCTTGCTAATCTAGGACACCATGCTGAGAGTACAGACCATTCATGTTACTCCAAAATCAAAAGAGCTGTGTAGTGTGGCTACACAGACTGAAGACTATGGCTGTGTCAATCATTGTACCTCAATGTATGTTGACAATGAAAGAAATATGGAAAATAGAGAAAGCGAAAGCCATGGAATAAAAGAAGCAAGCAATGGTGATGCAAATGATGTAAATGAGCAAAACACATTGAATAACACTGATGTTGACGATAACCTTGATGAAGTTAGTGAAGACTTTGAGATGAATGAGTCATTGAGTACTATAATTACTGAGATGAAAGGAAGGAAGGATGTTGTACAAAATGTACAACCTCAGCAAAGAGAAATGGAAACTAGAGAAAGCAAAAGCCATGAAATAAAAGAAGAAGTAACCAATGGTGATGCAAATGATGTCAATGAGCAGAACACATTCAATAACACTGATGTTCACGATAACCTTGATGAAGATAGTGAAGACCTTGAGATGGATGAGTCATTGAGTACCATAATTACTAAGATGAAAGAAGGGAAGGAGTTTCTTCAAAATCGTTCTCATCTAGAAGCATATACCAGTGAAAAGCCATTTGAATGTTCGTATTGTCACATGTGGTTTACACAGAAAAGCGTTCTTAAAATCCATGTACGAACACATACCGGTGAAAAGCCATATGAATGTTCGTATTGCRATAAAAGATTTTCACSGAAAGATAATCTCAGTCGTCATTTACAAACACATACCGGTCAAAAGCCATTMGAATGCTCGTATTGTGATAAGGCATTTATAGAGAAAACTAAGCTTAAAATTCACCTACGAACACATACCGGTGAAAAGCCATATGAATGTTCGTATTGTGACAAGGCATTTGCACAGAAATTTGTTCTTGTTGGTCATCTACGAACACATACCGGTGAAAAGCCATATGAATGTTCGTATTGTGATAAAGGATTTTCACGGAAAGAAAATCTCAGTCGTCATCTACGAACACATACCGGTGAAAAGCCATTTGAATGTTCGTATTGTGATAAGGCATTTTTAGGGAAAAATAAGCTTAAAATTCACCTACGAACACATACCGGTGAAAAGCCATATAAATGTTCGTATTGTGACAAGGCATTTGCAAAGAAATTTGTTCTCGTTGGTCATCTACGAACACATACAGGTGAAAAGCCATACGGGTGTCCGCGTTGTGGTAAGGCATTTGCATTGAAAAGGTCTCTTGATCTTCATGTATTACGAACACATACCGTTGAAAAGCCATATAAATGTTCGTTTTGTGACAAGGCATTCATACAGAAAAGTGTTCTTGGTCGCCATCTACGAACACATACCAATTAAATCTTAAAAGCCATATCAATGTTTCTATTTTGATAAGTTTTTTTTACGAGAAGTAATAAATCAAACACGTAAAAGAGTGTTTCATCCGATTGCCCGGTTTCATTCTTAACCTCATTTTCTTTCTCACGCGCAATGTTCATCAGCTTTTTTAATCACAGGTTTTCAATATAGAATTCTTTCCTGTTGACAGCACATAATGGTCAGTGTTTGGCCACCATTGGCAGCATATTGTGAGCCGGATTTGAAGACTTTTATTAGCTGATTGACACCCAGCAATTTGCAAACACCGAGAAGTGAGTTGAAAAAGCGAGGCAGCATGCAAAGATTCTAAAAATAACATCAAAGATGCTCTTCAAGGGGCGCGGGGAATCCCTATTTTTAGCTCTTTATCTTTTGCATTTACCCCCTCTCGTTTATAAAGCCTGCGCTGTTGGCAGACAGCGGAAGGCAACGCGCTAACGAGAATGGGCATTTACCCAGAGCAGATGAAAGGAATTAGAAAGGAGCTTCTGCGCTTATTGCAGTACAAAAGTTATCTTTATCTTCATGTATTACGTATCCATAACAGTGAAAAGCCATTTCATTGTTCGTATTGCGATAAGGTCGTTTGCACATAAAAGTGATCTTGGTCGTCATATAGAAGCAGTGGTGAAAAGCCATTTCAATGTTCGTATTGTCGCAAGGCATTTTCTTATAGAAAAGGCACCTCAAGGGCCACCTTCATACACATACTGGTAAAAAAGCATATGAATGATGTTCACATTGTTACATATTAAAGAAAAGCCATTTAAATGTGCGCTTGTCGCAAGGCATTTACCCAGAGAAGTCATTTCAAAGGTCACCCTCCAACACACATGTACAGGTAAAAAAAAAGCATATTGAATGATGTTCACATCGTTAAAAGGCATTTGCGCAAACCAAGGCTACCTTTAAAGAACGGCTTTCAAAGGGAAAGTATATTTGCTTCCCATAGAAATTCATTTTCATCGGGGAAGGGGTTGGATGTAGATTCGCCTTGATATTAAACCCCTGCTAGAACTCCAACCCTCCCCACCCCCACCAACGCCTTTCGTCCTTGGCCCTGCTTGGCCATCCCTTGTTTTTGATAGTGCGCGACTTTTGCGGATTTTGTTTGTTTTTGTGTTTAATTTGTGTGTGCCCATTTGCTTGGTTCTGATTTTTTGAAATGAACGTATCACCCCCTCCAGAAAATAAGAACATCCCAACCCCTCTCCCCTGGGAAAATAAAATAAACGGTCCCAGATCCTTTAACCTCATTTCTTGCAAGTTGTCTTTTAAAATGTCTTTTAATCTATTGAACAATACTTAAGGATTTATTTTTTGTGAGTAAAACTTTTTACTACAATGTAATGCTTAGAAATTAAAGCTTGAATGTTTTCGTTGACGATTAGTGGCGCATGCGCATACGTTACTAACTTAATGTGCTTGGTGACAGTCGTGCTTTTGGTTCTCACATAGTTAATTGACTCCCCTCAATTAACTATGGTTCTCATTTTCTTTCGAATAATATCTTGTCATTTTGGTTGATTTTCCTGCACAGACAGACTGTTTTCTGGTCAACGGATACGTGAGGTAAGTCAGGAATGATGTATTGTGTTTCTTAGTGGATATTTAGTGCTGTGTGTAGGATCAAAGTGCTGCTGAGTACTCGAGATCACTCGAGTCATTTGTAAACGATATCAAAAAATAATCGGTATGACATTGAGAAACGAAGATAAAAAAGCAAATAAAATACTATATACGAGCTTTATTGTATTCAAATATGTTCCGTTACGTCCTCTAGCTTGTCAAACAATTCGATAGTGTGGTGTGTATTGGAGAACTTTGGTGAATAAGTTATTAGCTTTAATGCTTTACTAGTTATCCGAATGAAGAATATTAAACATGCTCGAAGCAAAGGTATCACCTTAGACAGGTTTTTTGGATTTTTTAGTCATTTTGCATTCAAGGTTTTGACTGTAGTTCACTATTAGGGGTTGAAAAGTCTTCAAATAGACGCAAAGCTACGAGAAGGAAGCCATCTTGCTTTTTCCACAGGGAGCCCAAGATTTAAACGATCTTTATGACTCTGAATAAGAGTATGATGAACTTTGGAGGTTGCCCGAAGAAATAAGCAAAAAGAGAAGACAGTTAAGGGGGAAAAGGATAAAATGGTGAAAAAAAGGAAAGAAAAAATGGGCATTTAGCAAAGAAGAAGGGGGGATTTTAATAATAATAAATAATAATTTATTAAGCCAAAATCTAAAAATCTAATGCTATTTACAATAAAAATCATATTAAATATCTATGGATAATAACAAAAAGACAATTAATATGTATGGCAAAAATAATAATAATGGTAATGATATAATGAAAAATATAGAAAATTAATACTAATATACTATACATATATTAATAAATGAATCATAAGAAAGATAAACGTTCTAAATGTCACTGTAAGCTCGTTTGAATAARAATGTTTTCAATTTTGATATTAATTCAGATAAGGTGATACTAGTCCTGATATGCAAAGGTACAGAGTTCCAGAGTCTAGGTGCAGAAGCTGAGAACGCCCTGTTACCATAGGTCTTTAAATTTGTAGATGGTATTTTCAATAGACATTTGTTTGCTGATCTTAGTTGTCGGGTAGGAGTGTGCTTTTCAAGTAGTTCTGGAATATAGCTTAGAGCAAAACCATTTAATGCCTTGAAGGTTATGAGCAAGATTTTAAATACTATTCTTTCTTGCACTGGAACCCAATGAAGCTCTCATCAGCGGGCTAAGGTGATCGTATTTTCTTTTCTGCATAATGCAGAGGCAAGCGGCACAATTTTGAACTAATTGAAGACAATGTATCATGCATGGAGCCCATAGAGCAAAGAATTGCAGTAGTCCAGGGATGGCAGAGCAGTTTTTTGATTGGAGGGGCTCAATAGTGACATTGTATGGCAAGGTGGGGGGACTGAGTTTAGTGAAAATGTATTAAAATTTCACAAAAAGTGGGGGGCTAAAGCCCCCCCCCCCCNCCCCCCCCCCCCCCCCCCCCGGTTCTGTCGTCCCAGTGGTCCAACTTGCAGGTGATCAAAGCATGTACTAATGTTTCAGCGTTTTCTTTAGATAGGAACTTTCTAATTTTTGAAATAAGGAGAARTTTGTTAAGCAAGCTTTACAGGTGGTGTTTATGTGATCGTTGATGTCCATGTGGTTGTCAAAGACAACTCCAATGTTCATGGCCGACTGTGAGGGCAAAATGGTATTGCTAGCAACTTTTACTTTAGAGAGACTTAGAGACAGCCGGTGTCGTGAACTAATAATAGCAATTGGGTTTTGTTAGTGTTCGATTTCAACATATTGGTAGACATCCATAATTTGATATCTGTCATACAAGCATCAATTCTTGAAGATGATAGTGTAGTTTCTTGCAAAGTGGATTTGAAGGAAAAGTAAATATGAGAGTCATAGTGTCGTAGAAGTGGTAGTTCATGTCATGTTTCTTTATTATGTCTCCAAGAGGATGTGTGTAAATTAAGTATAGAATAGGACCTAGTATTGATCTCTGAGGCGGTCCAAAATAAAGTCGATAAGGATAAGAATTCTTGCCATTTAATGCAAACAAATTGATTTTTATTATTTAGGTAGGATTTAAACCAATCTAGAGCTTTACCTTTAATACCAAAAGAGACTTGTRGTCGCTTGAGAAATATATAATGATCAACAGTATCAAAGGCGGCGGAGAGGTCTAATAGCAATCATAGAACTACAGAGCGATTAGCATCAATAGATCTGAGTATGTCATTGCTAACCTTAATTAATGCTGTCTCTGTACTATGTAGTTTCTTATATGCCGATTGAAGTGGTATGTGTAGATAGTTGCCGTCCACGTAGGATACTAGTTGTGTTACACTTTTTGCTCCTACTTCAAAGAGACCAGGGATCGTGAGACTATATTCTTTACCAAAGTTGCCAAAGCCTGAAGTAATACTAAATAGGGTTTCATATCCTGAACTTTGTCATTTCTCTGATATTAATATCTAGACATACACTGAAAGTTCAGTCTCAGTGAACTCAACCAGCTATTTTACTGATATTCACTTCACCATCTGTAATCATTTGTTAAATAATTGGGCTCATAAATAACCATATATTTACAATGTAAATACCCTGCATTTCGCATGGCAAAATAGGAATTCATGCCTGTAGCTATGAGGTATGTTACAGAAACGTGACCCATCACACAGCCACAATCTGTCTTCCTTGCTCTGCAGTCTTACCTTTCATTTCATGATACATCCTTGCTAATAATGTGACTTGATATTTATCTCAGTAAAATGGAGTCAAATGTCCATATAAAGACAGAACAAATGTGATATTTGATATTTATTTCAGTAAAATGGAGTCAAATGTCCATATAAAGACAGAACAAAGGGACTCAGGTGAAATGGACTTTTTGTKTTATAACAACATCGTTACTGTAGAACCCAGTTGGCATGAAGATCCTTCTACCTCTGAGGTTAGTTTGTTCTTGATAAATTATTCATATATTGATAAATTATTCTTCGAGGGCCACAAGTTAATTAGTTAACAGAATTACTGTCATGTCTCACCCTCATTAAGGTACCTAGCGAACAGTGTGCACTCAACTCTTAATAGCGCATAACCTTTCAGTCAAATCCTCAACAAAGTATACATTTTCTTTGTATCGAAGGAAGCCATTTTGTTTACTTCGTGTGTAATGCGAGAGTATTTCACTGATAATTGATCCTTTTGGACATGCGCTTTGAGATGAACATCACGGGGCCCACGCGGAGCAAGTAACCTCGAAATTTGAGTCCGGCTAGCGGCTAAAATTGGTTCGAATTTACTTGCGTTTGTTTCTTGTTCGGTTAAGTATTGCCTCATTGCCTTCGATGAATAATAAAGTTTTGCTTGAGTAACTGCAGTAAATTAAAAACTTTGCCGGACCTTTCGACTTCCCAACCACGTTCTTGAAGCTCTTGCTTTGAGAAGGACAGACGCGAAGGGTTTCCAATACCATAAACCATTTCTTGACCTTCGAACTTTATCCTAAGCAACGCTG